TGTAAATCTGTGGGTATATTTCTGGATTTTCTATTTGGTTCCAATGGTCCGGGTGTCTGTTCTTGTTCCAATACCATGTAGTTTTGATTATTATGGCTTTGTAGTATAGTTTGAAGTCTGAGAGTGTGATAGCTCCATTCCCTTCATTTTTTAAAAAGAGATTTGGCTATTTGGGGTTTTGGTGGCACCATATAAATTTCATCAGTATTTGTTCTGTTTCTTTGAAGAATGTCATTGAAATTTTTATTGGAATAGCATTGAATCTGTAAATTGCTTTTGGTAGATGGCCATTTTGATACTGTTAATTCTTCCAATCCATGAGCAAGGGATGTCTTTCCATTTCTTTGTGTCTTTTTCTATTTCTTTTAACAGTGTTTTATAGTTTTCTTTGCATGGGTCTTAGGTTTATTCCCAAGTGTTTGATTTTTTTTTCTGTTTCAATAATAAAGGGGATGGTTTTCTTGATTTCTTCTTCAGATTTATTGTTTGTGTATAGGAAGGCAACTGATTTTTGCGTGCTGATTTTGTATCCTGCTACTTTACTAAACTGATTGATTAGTTTGATTAGTTTTTCTGTGGAGTTTTTGGGGGTTCTCTATGTATATTACAATATCATCTGTGAATAGTGATAGTTTGACTTTTTCCTTCCCTATTTGGATTCCTTGTATTTCTTTCTCTTATCTTATTGCTCTGGCTAGGACTTCGAGTATTATATTGAAAAACAGTGGTGAGAGCGGACATCCTTGTCTTGTTCCAGATCTTAATGGAAATGCTTTTAACTTTTCACCATTGAGAATGCTATTGGCTATGGGCTGGTCATATATGGCCTTTATGATGTTGAGGTATGTTCCTTGTATCCCGAGAATTTCAAGGGCCTTTATCATATGTTAGGGACCAGCCTCCGGCAAAATGCCGTGTCAGGGGTTCCTGAAAGGATGAGACGGCCTCGGCGAAAACGAATGATCTGATCATAAATGGGTGTTGTACTTTGTCAAAAGCTTTCTTAGCATCTATTGATATTATCATATGTATATTTCTTTTGTTGATGTGTTGGATGACGTTGATTGATTTTCGGATGTTGAACCATCCTTGTGTCCCTGGAATAAATCCTACTTGGTCGTGGTGATTTATCTTATGGATACATTGTTGGATTCTGATAGCTAAAAATTTTTTTGAGGATTTTTGCATTAGTGTTCATTAGATAGATTGGCCTGTAATTTTCTTTTTTGGTTCTGTCCTTGTTCAGTTTTGGTATGAGTGTAATGTTGGCTTCATAGAAGGTGTTTGGCATTATCCCTTCCTTCTCAATTTTTTGAAAGAGTTTGTGAAGGATAGGCACTAGTTTGTTTCTGAATGTTTGGTAGAATTCATTTGTAAATCCATCTTAACCAGGACATTTTGAAGTGAAACTGGTTTCTATTTTTTTTTTCCTGCAAGTAAGTGGTGGTGAAGAACAACTACTGCTGCAGTTGGTCCTGTACTCTCCACTCTTACTAAGTTTTACCTCAGAGGAAATATCAAAATAGTGAAAGTCCAGTGTTGTCTAAGTGATGTTATGAAAATGGTTTTGACCTCATGGGTCCTGTGAAAGGTTCTGGGTGACATCAAATGTTCCACAGACTGCCCTTTGAAAAATGTTTTTCTCACTGAACCAGGAAGAGTCTCCCAAGTGTTCTTTGCCTTTGGCTCCTCTTCATTTGCAGAATCCCTCTCCCTGGTTTGGGTGCCAGGCTGCGAAAGCTGATGTTTGAGCTTTGTTCCTGGACTCTGGAAGAGAACGCAGTCTTCAGAGAGGATGAGCATATCCTCCGTCTGAGAGGGGAGATGGGACAGATGTTTCCCTTTGCAACTGGGAACAATTTGTGTCTGGAGGCACCAGAACCTCTTTTGGTTCTGTTTTATCCAGCTTAACATGTATGTCTATCCAGATAGTGACCTGACCTATTAGTTAAGAGAGATAATATTGGCCCTTTCACTTTACATGTATATGTGTCTAACTCATCTGACCTGATATCCCCAAAGGATGAAGAGCTGTGCTGTGCAACAGAATGTTCTAGGAGAAGGAATTGTTCTCCACGTGCACTGAACAATATGGTGTCTGTAACCGTGGGGCTACCGAACATTTGAGATATGGCTCATGAGCTGAGATCTTTACCTTTTCAACCCTTGGCCTCTCTCCCATTCCCTGTTGTTGATTTTCCTGTGTCCTGGTCTCTGTGCCCATCATCTTTTTCTCCCCTTTGTAGACTAGTGTCCTTTGCCCACTAGAGAAGGGACATGGACAGTAACACCAGAGACCACGAACAGCTGAAGTGAATGTCTGTGTCCCCAGTGCCTCCCCTCACCTGGGCCTGACATGGAGTCGGGGCTGGATTCCCCTGAGGAATGGGCAGGCCTGGCTCCAGTGTCTTCTGGCCTCCAGGCCTGAGTTGTCTCTTAAAGGTTCCAAGTTTTGTCCTTCTCTAGCCTCTTTCTGAAAGTTCCTGGCGGCGGGTCATGGTGTGGAGCTGCTGTGGGTCATGGTGTTCCTCTGTGGGAGGAACCAGGTAGAACACTCAATGTACACATTTTATCTGTGAATGCTCAGGAATTTTCTCAATTTTTTTTATCATTCCACTCTGCATTTCTTAGATACTTGTATTATTAATTCATTGGAATCCCTTGATTGACAGACTCATATTCTTGTAGGTCTTCTCTCAGCTTGTCATTTCTTTTCCATTTGTATGACTTAGTGGGAGAGAGACTTCAATATTCCAGTTCATCTGCTGAATTATTCATTTATATGAACAAATTTATAATTTCCAATAGCTTTCTCTTGTTCTATGATTATATATTAAATAAACTCTTCTACCTTTATGCTTAATTTTTTTTAATGTATTTTTTGAAGATTTATTTATTTATTACACATTGAAGAACTGCGGTATAGGCTAGAGGTGGGGGATGGTGGTGAGATGATTCACCAGGGACAGAATGGGGAGCAGAACTGGCAGATCTACCGAAATACACTGCTGAGGGGAGCAGCTGGTGAGTCAGGAGGGGTCTGTCCTGCCACGTGGGCTACTCCCTGGGCGAGGATCAAACTCAGTCCTAGGCAGTGATAGCACTGAGACTTAACCCTTATGCCACCAGGGAGGCCCTGTTTTTAATATATTTTTTACATCTTTTGACATTATTTAAAATAATAGAAGGGTACCTGATAGCACTCCTACTTGTCTACTTTCACAACAAACACTCTCCCTCCTCCCAGCACAGGGCTCGGGTAAGGTTTACACGTGTCTTTGTCATCTTTGCTCAGTGTCCATCTCATGACAGTGCAAGCTCCACATCTCCACGGCCCTTTCTCTGCTCTTCATTGTGTCTTCAGGGGAGGCAGCTTGGGGAGGCAGGAGCCAGCTAGGGAGAGGGATTCTGGGAAATGAAGGGGAGACAAAGGCAGAGAACACTTGGGAGATGCTCCTTGGTTCACTGAGAAAACCATTTACCAAAGTGCATTCTGTGGAACCCTTGAAGTCACCCAGAACGTGTCACAGGATCCATGAGGTCAAAAGTATTTTCAAAATGTCACTTAGACACGGTTGGCTTTTTCACTATTTTGACATTTGCTGAGGTAAAACTTAGCAAAAATGGAGCTTATATTACTAACTGCAACAGTAGTTATTCTTCACCACTACTTACCTCAGAAACACAACTCCAAGCCAGTTTCATTTCAAAATGTCTTGGTTGAAGCATTGAAAGTTAGCTTCATTATTCTATCATCCTCAAAACCACATTTTACAGTACCTGATGTGATGACACGCAAGTACACACAGAGCACTTCTGCTGCGTTCCCACCTACTATGTGCCAAGGAAAATATTTGCACGAGATGAATTAGACTGTTTTTCTTTTTTTGTAGGCAATCCCATCTTGACACGAAGGGATGAATGACAAAAACTATGGCTATTTGGATTTGGCTAATTGGCAGACATTGTCCTGAAAATGAATGTGTGCTCCTTAATGAAACTGACATTCAACTGACAATTGATAACTGACAGTGACCTCGCCTTGACAAAATAAAAGTGCTCAGACAAAACCAGAATTATGGAAAATTGTGTCCTATCACTAAGTTGACAATTTCCATTACTGCTTTTACTTTTGGGACTTGTGGTAAAAAATAAAAAAAAAAAAAATTAAATAATTTGATTCCAGCACCGCTCTGGTGGAGCAAGGGGTTAAGCACCACACTATGAAGCAATCCTCAGCCTCTGCAGCACGAGTTCGATCTCCGGCAGCCAGGGAGCTACCCACATGGCGTAGCAGACCTCTCCTGCTGGCCCGCTGCTCCCCTCAGCAGTGTATTTCAGTCAGCCTGCCTGTTCTGTGCCCTGCTCTATATCTGGTGAATCCTCTCACACACCCAAAACACCCACCCCTGCATCTCTGACCTGTACCCCCCTCTTATGCATAAATAAATAAATCTTTAAAAAATAAATAAATAATTTGATTCCGCTGTCATGAACACTGAAGGTCTTTGTAACTTAGTGGAACGATATATTACTTTAAAAAATCACACAGTAGCACAAGAGTACACTTGGCGTCCTCCCTAATTTGAAAGACTGGACATTGATCCAGAAAAGAAAATGACTGAGAATCGCTGACCCAGTGGCCGAGACAGTGTGAGGAAGCTTTGGGGGAGGAGAGGAGAGGGCAGAGCAAAGCCCCAGGTCCTTAGTGTGGTTCTCACAGTTCCAGGCCCCAGGGCTGTGTCTAGGGCAGGAAGGTTACTGTTGGGGATACCCCACTGCCCCCTTAGCCTCACTTCTGTTTCCACCACCTGTGCTGGGCCCTGGACACTTGTGACTCCTCCCCAGTTCTCAGTCCCCAGAGCCTGGAGGTTCCCAGAGAACCAATCAGCATCACTGCCTGCCCAGTAAAGTCTCCACCCACCAGCCTGGAGTCAGAAGCTCCCCAGACCCCAGCAATGCTGGTCATGGGGCCCCAATACTGCTCCTGCTGCTGCTTGTGAGGCCTCTGGCCCCGACAGAGTCACGGGCTGGTGAGTGCAGGGTGGAGGGAAAAGGCTTCTGCAGAGGAAGCTGCTGCCTTAGGCCCCTCTGTCACCCCGTGGCGCCCCTCAGTCCTGGTCCCTTTCTGTCTCCCCACCCTGCCTCCTCCTTTCGTCCCCTGAGTCTCGCCCCTTCTGGACCCGCTGCCCATTTGCAGTCTCTGGAGCTCCCTCCCTCCTGGACACTTTCTCCCCTGCCCCATCTCCCTGGGACTCAGGAGGGTCCGCCAGGCTTTCACCCCTTCCGCCCCCAGGCTCCCACTCTCTGAGGCTTTTAGAAATGGTGATGTCCCAGCCAGGCTTCGGGGAGCCCTGGTACCTCGCCGTGGGCTACGTGGACGACACGCAGTTCATGCGGTTCGACAGCGACTCTCCGGATCAGAGGGTGGAGGTGCTGGCGCCCTGGGCGGGGCAGGTGGGGCAGGAGGATCAGGACGAGGAGACGCGGAACCGAAGACACTCGGCGCAGAGGCTCCAAGCGCTCCTGGAGGACCTGCGAGGCCGCCGCAGCCAGAGCCACAACGGTGAGCCGCGCTGGCCGGGGCGGGTCACCGCTCCCGTCCCCCCCGCCCCCCGCCGCCCCTAGTCTCCGGGCCCAGTGACCCCCGAGGCCGTGGCCCCTGCCAGGCCCTTTGACCAGGGAAGAGCCAGCGGGACTTTCACCCATAGGTTTTATTTTAAATTTAGGATTGTTCAGGGAGGGAGATCGGGTGCGGGCGCGAGACCAGGGGACTGACCTCAGGGCCGGGGCTCAGGGTCTCACACGATCCAGAGGACTCTGGGCTGCGACGCGGGGCCCGACGGGCGCCTCCTCCGCGAGTACGATCAATCCGCCTACGACGGCGCCGATTACATCGCCCTGGGCGGGGACCTGCGCGCCTGGACCGCGGCGGACACGGCGCCTCAGATCACCCGGCGCGAGGGGGAGGAGGAAGGTCGGGCAGAGCAGGACAGGAGCAGCCTGGAGGGCAGGTGCATGGAGTGGCTCCCAAGACTCCTGGACATGGGGAAGGAGGCGCTGCAGCTCAGAGGTGAGAGGGCTGCGGGGCCTTGGATCTCCCTGAGGCGGGCACCCCGCAGGGAAATGGAATCATGGTGAGAAAGCGCCCCCTTCTGGCCAGAGAGGGAGCTGCCTGCCACGTGTTCAAGCTCTGGGATGGAGACTGGCCCGGAGGGTCCTGCTTTTTCTGAAGGACAGTTAAGGAACCCAGTTTCTCCTGAGAAAGAGGGGAGACCACTCCTAAAATCACCCTTTACATGATGTTTTTGACCAGCAGTCATCGTAGGAACAATGAGTTTCTCTCTCAAGATCTTGTTTTTTGGTCAGAGTAGATTTTTGGAGATCTCACTCCTGCCTGTCTGTGTCATCACCCTCCACGCAAGTCAAGGACAAAATGCTTAGAGACCTGCATCCCACCCTGGGCTCTCACCTGCTATCCCAGACTCCCAGACCAGGCTGGTTTCTGGGGTTGTGCTTCCTCCCTCCAAGCATACTGTGCTGTCCATTGGAGGATGGTCACGTGAGGCTGCTTCAGTGTCCATGGAGGAAACACAAAGCATGAAGTTTCCGATTCTTCCCACTCAGGCCCCCAATTGCCAAACGTGACCCGTCGTGCCATCTCTGCCAAGAACGTCACCCTGAGGTGCTGGGCCCTGGACTTCTACCCTGCGGATATCACCCTGACCTGGCAGCGAGATGGGGAGGACCTGACCCAGGAGCTGGTGGACACCAGACCTGGGGGGGACGGGACCTTCCAGAAGTGGGCGGCTGTGGTGGTGCCTTCTGGAGAGGAGCAGAAATACTCATGCCATGTGCAGCATGAGGGGCTGCTGGAGCCCCAAGTCCTGAGATGGGGTAAGGAGGGTAATGTGGACACAGAGGCTGTTCTCAGGGCAACAGGAGCCCTTCTGGAGACCTTCAGAGGGTCAGACTGAGGCCTCAGTGTCAGGATCTGTCCTTCCCTTACAGTGCCACATACTCTGACTCTGACCTTCGACTCCTCAGTGGACCTCATTTATGGCCTGGCTTTCTTTGGAGGAATTGTCACTGGAATTGTGCTGGATATAGTTTGGAAGAAATGCTCATAGAATAAGTGCTCAGGTAGGGAAGGGAGTGGGTGGAAATTGTCTGCTGGGGGCTTTCAAGTCCCAGGTCTCCCTGCCTGATTAATAGGAAGTACCACACACAAACGGTGCTGCCCAAAGGGCATTTGGTCTAGTCCCCTCTCACCTCCTTTCTTCATTTTTCCCAGACCTGACCTGGGTTTTGAGTCTCAGTTCTGGAAACCTCCCTATTCTGCAGGATTATAAGATTTCTTTAGGACTTCTTCTTTAAGATTTATTTATTTATTTGTTTGTTTGTTTATACAAGCACTGGGTACAGTCAGAAGCGCGGGAGGGTAAGAGAACTTACCAGAGCCAGAGGGGAGAGCAGAGCAGGCAGACCGATGAAGTACACTGCTGAGGGAAGCAGCGGGTGGCAGGAGAGGTCTGCGTGCCATGTGGGACCCACACCCTGCAGCCAGGGATTGAACCGGTGCTGCAGAGGCTGCAGGCAGCTTCACAACCCAGCGCTCAACTGCTGTGCCACTGGGGAGGTCCAATTTCTTTAGGACTTCTGACCTGACTCCTCCGTGGTCTCACGTGATGTTTCTTCCCACAGGTGGACAAAGAGGAAGCTACACTCAGGCTGCAAGTAATTGTGGGTCAAGGGTTGGATCCCTGAGCCCCTGGGGACAGTGTAGATGGAACCCATGGGGGAGTCACACTCATCAGTTCCACCTGTGGTCTCATCTTGACCAAGTTTGGAGGCCTGCAGTGGAGTTGGGCACTGTGGCAGAGAGGCTAGCCCTGGGTGAGGGGGATGTTTTCAGGAGGACATCTTGAGAAAGCAGTGAACTATTGATAATGTTAACACAGGTAATTCATCTGAATTTCTTCATGATTATTTTCTTTCTTTCACAGTATGAGACATCCTTGTGTTGGCCTGAGTGTTACAGGATTTCTTTTTGCCCACATTTTGTGGCTTTATGATCCCCTGGTTTAAACCACACCTGCAAGAATGGCCCATATCCAGAAGACCAGAAACTCAACTGCTGGCAAGGATATGGGGGCAGTCCTACATTGTTTTTGGATGTAGACTGAGCCAACTTTTATGGAAACAGTATTGAGGTTTCTTAAAAGAGTAAATGTGGTTCTGCCATTGGACCCAGTAATTCTACACCGAGGATCTACTCACAGAGGATAAATACTCTACTGGGAAGGGACCTGCACTCCTGTCACCACTGCAGCACTATTTACAGTAGCCAAGCTATGGAAACCACCTAAATGCCCCAAACAGGTGACAAATCAAGTAGAAGCTGGGATTACATATATACATATATATACATGTACGGATGATGTGTGTCCCTGTATAATGAAATAGCATTCCGTGATCAGAAAACATAACTCATGCCAGTGTAGCAAAATTAACGGAAGGGGAATAAGTCAAAAGGAAAACGAGAAATACTTGTATATGGATGTGGAGAAAGCAGACGAAGGGCCAGATTAAGCCAAACTTCAAAACTAACCCTTTAGCCCCGCCGTGCTGCCCCTGTTGCTGACCAGGGCTGCAGACCAGCCCTGGCTTCCTGGCTTGGCAGTGCTGGGTGGTGGACAGACCCTCTCTAGTTTGGCGGAAATGAGCCTCTACTCAGGCTCATTTGAGGACTAAGCCTGACTCCTGCTGACTGAGTCCCCTGTTGTGTCTTGTTGCACTTGCACCACCACTGGGTCCCCAGCCTCTGCTGTTTGCAGAGATGGGTCTGAGATGGGTGTTGTACTTGATGCTACAGATTATGACTTTTTTACACCACTTATATATCCACCACATGGCCAGATGTTGACATCTTCTGACAGACTGTTTATTCTTCTGATAGTAACAAATCTTGGAGCTTTTATCTGCTTCAGGGGGCCTTGCTGCCCCAGCAAGATAAGACACTGGCAAGCAGCTAAGAAAAAGGGCCTCACACCGTGCGACCGAAGTTTAAAGAGCCTCACACCATGGGGCTGAAGATTCCTTGTGCCTCACACCGTGGGGCTGAAGATTTAACATCCCTTTGTTTTTTTGTTCTTGGTCATAAAAAGAAAAAAATTCTCAGAAAGTACATTAGGCAATAAATTATACGTATCAGCATACTGTAAGTAAATGGCACGGAAAATTATCTGTTTAGAAATTAGTTATTAAACAATTTGGCCCACTTGACAATGGGGGACAATTTATTATTCATGCCTGACAAGTATTCCAGCACAACAATTATAGTAAGTCCTTCTTTTTGCCTTTTTTAGAAGTTTCTTAGGAAAGTTTTTAAATGAAGTTAATTGTGTTGAAGATTTTCTAGGTAGGAAAAGTTCTGATAGCTGAGAAGCAGCTGGTCTCCAGCTGAAGGCCATATGAATAGAAGAGTCCTTCGATGTTTTGGCTTTAGCTGATAGGGGTGTACTGGGGGCTATCGGCTATCCTAGGCAATTGTCTAGCTGAAATAATGAGTTTTAGTGTAAGGCTTAGTTTTTATCTATTAACCTTGAAGGTTGCCTTCTTGCTAAGAACAGGTAGGAGCCAGAAGTCTATGGGAAAAGAATACACTGATTGTTTCTGCTTTGCTTCTATGCATATGATGATGTCATCTCACTGCTTGCAAAAAATGAATAAATAAAGACCCGCTGAGTTCCTTAGTAGGGGATACTTGCACCAAAAAGAAGAGTGCATGTCTGCATCATCCCCTTCCCCTTAGCCCTTAAAGTTTCGCCTAGGCAGTCTCATCCTTTCAGGGACTCCTGACACGACATTTTGCAGAGGCTGGTCTTCGGCATTTATTCTTTATTTTCTCTTTGCAACACTGAGTTATTATTTGTCTATAATTCACTAATGAAACATCCACAATTTTTTAAAAGATTTTTTTTATTTTTGTGTAGAGGAAATGGGGTGAAGACCAGAGGTGTGAGAGGAATCACCAGAGTAGGAGTGGGGAGCAGAACAGGTGGATCTACTAAAATACACTGCTAAGGGAAGAAGTTGGCAAGACAGGAGATGTCTGCTCCACCCTGTGGGTCAGCTTCATGACCAGCAATCCAACTGAGACTTAACCCCTAGGCCACCAGAGAGTCCCAACACCCCCATTTTTTTTAAAGGTTTATTTACTTATTTATACAAGCACTGGATACAGTTAGAAGCGTGGGAGGGTGAGAGAATTCACCAGAGCAAGAGTGGGGAACAGAAGAGGCAGACCGATGAAATACACTGCTGAGGGGAGCAGCGGGTGGCAGGAGAGGTCTGCACGTCATGTGGGACCCTCGCCGGTGGCCGGGGACCGAACCAGTGCTGCAGAGGCTGCGGGAAGCATTGCAGCCCAGCGCTCAACCGCTGCACCACCAGGGGAGGCCCAACCAACACCCGCAATTTTTAAAGAATCAAATCTTGAAAGAAATTATTTACTGTTATGTCTTTACCATGGATTAAGTATTCCCACCATTTCACTGTGCCTGCTGGAGCTGAGAGGATACAGCAAATTATATGATAGCATATGAGAGTTTCCAAATGGCTGGATCAACTCATTATTAGTGTATGGTCCTTCCTCTTTTGCACCAACATGCTGATCTGCTGGATTCACAGAGGTTTTCACCATAGACTTGTGTATGAGCAAACCATAAACTTCACCCTTTTGGAAGATTCCTAAGCCACATGCAAGTCATGCTTTTCACCCTGTAGATGGCTTTCTTCAGAGTCTACCTTATCATCTCTACCCTTTTATCTTTCCATTACACAACATGTTTATTTAGATTTGTACATCTTGGTCAATATTTGGACAGTTTCCATTCATGATGGTGATTTTCATATATTCAGATCTTAAGGCCATTTATTAATGGCTCAGCTCACCATACACATCTCAAACTCTTCTTTAGCTACAACTGTGGACAATATTTTACATTGCAGGATAGAATTGGAGGCTCATTCAAAAATTCTTCCTCCTTTGAAGGGAAAGGACCACAGTTATGTGAAGAAGGTGACAGGAGAAAGCATAGCAGCCAGCAGGAAATGGTAAAAAATGAAAAGTTATTCCATGGAGAGGTTACAAAGGCTGAGCAGATTATTGCCAAATTACTAATTATTTTTAATGAGGGAAAATAATCTACATCCAGCCAGGAGACAAAGCAATGGTAACATTTAAACTCCGCATTGAGGGCCCGCTGAGGGATGGTCATGATGAGAGACCAAGAGAAACCAACCTCCTGTGTTAACTCCAGGGGTTTTTAAGAGAAGACTGTGTCTTTCCAGCCAGTGAAGCTGTAACTTATATTGTCTCATCAATAATTTTTAAAAAGTTCAGAGACAGTAAATGATTGAGGGGACCAGGTTATATCCTTTTGCTTTAACCCACCACATTCATCAAGAAAAACTCACTGTGTCAAGGCTCAGCGCCATAACAAGGAAACATAAATACAGGTTTCAGGTGGTGCCTGGTGTCAGGAGTGAGCTCTGTCTTCCGTGCAGGTCTGGCAGTGACCACTTGTAATGCTTTGTTCACGGGGAAGCCTCAGCATGACAGCAGGCCTGATAGAATCTAGCAGTGACTATGCAAATGACCCATTTCCTAGCAGGTGTGATAACTGTCATCTCCCTACACACAGGAAGCTTCTGTGGGGGACCGTGTCAAATCTTACATTTTACTGATAAATAAATAAGTTGGGATTGCTAAAAAAAAAATCCATACTACCATGATTCAATCCAGATGTGGGATTATTTAGCTAAAGGTTTTGATGTTTTATTTAAAACCACTATGTAATAAGCATAAAATTATGTGACTCTAAATGTATTTAGAAAGGGAAACTTGATGTCCAAGTAGTATAATTGGCACTGGATTTTTAACTAAGCTGTTACACAGTGCTTTTACTATGTTTCAAAGGGAAAAACCTATAGTTTTCTATAAAAGGAAATAATTCCAAATATCTTCAGGTTTGCCACTGAATATCGGTTTGGAATTCATCATCTTTTCTCTAAGTAATATGTCAGATTAACAGACCCTTCTGGACAGTGATTGACATGGTGCAACTTCTCTTTAGAAGCCTCAGTCTGGCTGCTGTGCAGAATCAAGAGGTGAAGGTGAGAGTTGGGAAGATAAATGTAAGAAACTAGCACAGATTCTAGGATGGAAAATTTGGTGGATTTATGGGGTGTGATCAGGAAAATAATAGCAAGTGTTTGGATCTGAATATATTTAGAGATGGACTTTACAGCATTTTCTAATGTGACATCTGGGTTGTGAGAAAGAGGGGTCAGGATGCCACCCAACATCTCAGACTGTGAAGTAGAGATGTGGAACCCACAGTGACACGGGCAGGCTTCAGGAGTAGCACCTCTGTGGAAATGGCATCCAAGGTGTTCATTAGGAGAGTTGAAGCTGAGGGTTATTGGAAATGCAGCGATGGTGGCAGTTGGACAGTTGTAGGCAGCCTGCTGCCCTAAAGGGGGACGGAGTCTCTGAGAGGACCTGTTCACTCTGCACATGGAGTTCCAAGAGGTTAGAAGTGCTGCAAACGGAACTTCCCAGAATTGATTCCTGTTCTCTGAGGACATACTGGCTTCTTTGTATGTTCCCTACTAACTAGAAAAACTTGTTCCAGCAGTAACTTATTAATGTGTATAAGCATAAACACAGTTATATGCTATTTTCTTTTTTTTTTAAAGATTTATTTTATTAATGCATACAAGAACTGGGATACAGGCCAGAGGTGCGGAGGGTAATAAGATTCACCAGAAAGAGAATGGGGAGCAGAACAGGTGGATTGACTGAAATACACTGCTGAAGGGAGTAGCAGGTGAGATAGGAGAGGTCTGCTGCACCATGTGGGTCAGCTTCCTGGCCAGGGATCGAACTGAAGCCTCTGTGGCAGCCAGTAGCTTCATAGTGCTGAGACTTAACCCCTTGCACCACCAGGGAGCCTCTGTGTGCTAGTTTATTGTCCCTTTGTTCATATCTTTAATAAAAGCTTGGGCTGGGAAAATGAAAGGCAGAGTTGCTGTTGATGGCTCTCCTTGGTCTCCCCCTGCTGCAGATTCATTTAGACTCTGAGTCTTCGTTAATAGCTGAGTACTTCTCATCGTCTGTCTGCAGCACACAGACAAGCCTGGAGCACAGGTGCAATATGTGCACTGAGAAATAGATCTGGGATGTGATGTGATGTGATGTAAATGATATTTGAAGTCTTGAGCATGGACGGGACAGGGAGTGATGACTAAGGAAAAGAAAGGAGCAGGATTGAACCCTGAAACCCCCTGTGTTAAGACCAACCCTCAGAGCCAACTGCATATTCTGTCACTGTGTGGAGAAGGCAGGGAGACCAGGGAGCCCCCACTTCAGTGAGTACAGGAATCAACGGGACACTCATGAAGACTCAGTATGTCTAGAATAGCATCTGAGAGTCTGTGTTTACAACAACATTTGTGCTGACCACACTTTTAGCAGCAGAAGGAGACCAGGATTCCCACCTGGCTGTGCGTCGCCTCACCTGCAGGGCGTGTTGAGGAAGTGATTCTCGGTTCCCTGCTCATCACTCTGAGCTGCTGGGTCTGGGAGAGACTTGAGTATTTGTAACACGCCCACATGCATCCTGGGGCTCAGCCAGATTGGGGCCCCCTGATGTCAGTGATCAGGGAGCTGTGAGGACCTGGGAGGAAAAAGACAAGACATGTGCTGGGGGGTCTGCTTTGCTTTCTCTCCCAGTAGGCATATCCAGGTGGACACGAGGAAATGGTTCTGCATAAAGTAAATCTGTCACTGTCCCTGGATGGATTTCTCACTCGTTTGATGCAAATTTACAACACAAATTTTTCAAGTAAAATTTACTGAAGGCATTAATAGATACATGTGAATGTGTATGTTTGTACATAATAGTATAGTGTGTGACACTGACTCCAGACTTCCGTGCTTTCCCTTCCTTTTCTGCTGCCTGAGTGGTGTGGGACATGTGGGCTTTGTTGCTGCGGCTACCCCATTGGGCACAGCTAGAGGCCAGTGGGAGCAGGAGTCTGAAAGGGCTGGCAGCAGCAGTGGTGGTTTCCTGCGCTGGCACCTGCGTGTGCAGGTGGGAGCTGGTGGGCACAGCTCTAGAGGGGTGACAGAGGGGGGTTTCCTGCCAGGGGGCAGGCAGCCTTCAGAGGGCCCCTTACACAGAGCAAGACAGGGTTAAGCACAGAAGCCCCTAGGGCATAGGCTCCTTCTCCCCTGCCCCCAGAGGAACTGCTTCTGGGCAACACCAAGGCCACCCTGCAGTGGGTACCACAGGACAGCTTCGCTGAGGCCACCTCGTGGGCTAGGGATGAGAGCTGTGGGGGCATCAGCTGGGTTTGAATGGACCCCACCTGCCCTGGCAGGCTCCAGGAGGCCGCTGCTTGAGGACAGGGTCCAGGCCACCCTGTCAGCTGTGCCAGCTGCAACCAGCAGCAGGAGTGGCAGTGGGTGACAGTGGGTGGGCACTTCACCACCAGCCACCGTCAGTGTCGTGGATAAAGGTGGCAGCCAATCTGGCAGCAGAGGCTCTCTGTCCCCCCACACCACCCCAGGGCATGCAGCCCACTGGGGTATAGTAGCAGCAAGATCCCCTTCGAGACTTGTCATTGCTGCTGACTGTCCTCCATCTCCCAGTGCTGTTGCCTCCTTCCTATCCGGCCTGGCGTTCAGACTGTGGCTGTGCCTGCTGGGGTGTCGCCTTAGATGGAAGCACCCCCTGGGAACACCTCCCGCTTCCACTATGAGTTGGATCTTGGCCCAGCACTTGCGGCTGTGCCACCAACTCCAGGCCCTCCCTGATAGGACTGTACCACCTTACACGGGCAGCCTTAATTTTGGACTATTGGACACTGCAGACACTATCTGGGTGACACAGTCACCACTGAGGCCTTAGAGACTCTTTACTTCCCTGCTCTCCTGTTTGTTAAAGAAACCTCATTGCTCTTCCCTGAGCCTGAGTGGTTTTGCAACTGAGCACATGAGTGAGAACCCAGAGACAGTGCCCTGTCCTCTGCCTTAGCTCTGTCCTTCTGAGAGGGGGCCAGGGAGGAAGGGCCCATACCTAGTACAGGAACCTGCACACACACAGACTGCTCATACACGCTACATGACTCATGATCTGTTTTCCTTGAACTAAAACTCTTGTTTTAAACTGAGATCCTGCCCTGCTGATGCCCCAAAGAGTGCCGGACACTGACGCCCTCTGATGTACCAGGGAAAGGATAACCAGGAGACTGACCGCAAGTTCTGGGCTGATCATGGTGAACACCAGGAGTGTCAGCTGTGACAGGCTGTTCTTAAGGACAATTTGCTCAGAACATAAAGGTTTGTCAGCACAGAGAGCACCAAGAGTCACACAGGAGAGAGACGTGTGGAGAAGCTACTTTGCTTCTTGGCTTTGGACTTGAGCCAGGAACTTAGAGACCTGGAAGGAGACGCCTGGAAGAGACCCATGGGGAGACCGAACTTTCCCTTGTACTTTAATTTTGCTCCTTCTGGCCCAGACTTGCTGCCTCCTTCCATCCACTTCCCAGGTCCCCACCTGAAGGTGCCTCAGCCTCAGGGGAACCTTCAGGCCACAGTGGCCCTGCTTTGGGCCAAGGTTGCATGGTTGGGTCTGTACCCATGAGGGATGGGGAACTTTGGGTGTTTTATTCCCAGTGTTCTTTCTTCTCTTTGCTCTCTGCACATTAATTCTTTTAAAGTTCTTTCATACTAAGAAAAAAAATAGTTCTTTAGTTGTCATGCAACTAAAGAAAACGATAAAAACTTATGCAAAACTGGACCCTTAAATAGTGCAAATTTTTATGAGCAAACGGAAACAGCTGCTTTTCTCTCTTTCTCACCAAGACATAAAACTTTCACTCAGTATTCTGATTTCTCATGTCAATGTTTGTTTGCAAAAATCCAATGAAGTTTTCTCCTACCCCCCTCTTTAATAGACAATTGGAAATAGGGTATTTTACCAAGGCTTTGTTTGGAATGTTGTGTTTTCAGAAACCAGACTGATATCAGAGCCTACAAGGAAACAATAACCTGGCACCTGTTTGGGGGTACAAAAGGTCTGTCATGTGGGTAAGAAGGCAACCCCTTGACAGGGCCAGAAACCCCATAAGTGTTGGGAGCCTTGAGAGGGATTTCCCCGAAGATACAGGTATCGCAGGCCTCGTCTGATGGTGAGAGCTTGGTGTGGTCCTTAGCCCTGACTCCTGGCTTTTAGGAGCTCTCAGTCTGAGGGTTCCTGTATGAAGTTGCAACAGAGCAAAATTAAAAGGTCTGCATAATAATTTCTGTTCCCATTTAATTCATGCAAACTCACTATGATGGTGCAGTGTCTGGGTGAGGCCAGGGGCAGATATGGAGTTCTGGGGCCTGAACATGCTGGATACCAGGAGCAGCAACCGTGACAGGCTGTCCTGATGGGCTGTTTGCTGTGATTGTCTTTGTGCAACTGATTATAACAAGGCCAGCTGGAGATGAGATGGTGGAATGGGCCCTTCAGGGTGCTATGCCCCCATTCTCTCAGATCACTGTCCAGTGATCTGAAAAGTGAAAGTGCTTGTAGATTCAATTCCTGGCTCTGCTTATGGCTTTCTGGTGGTGACAGGCAGCAGCGCCCAGGTCTACCCCACCAACATTTGTAGATATTTGCTGTCTGTCCCGTCAGGTGTGTGGTGTGCAAGTGCTTCCTCCC